ACAAAGAAAACAACACCCACACTCACACACACACACACACAGACACACACACAACACCACACACACAGGCACACACTCAGACACACACACAGACACACACACACACACACTCAGACACACACAGGCACACACACACACACACACACACACACACACACACACACACACACACACACACACACAGACACACACTCAGACACAAACAGGCACACACACACACACCACACACACACACACACACTCAGAGGCACACAAACACCCCTTAGTTTTAAGTCTGTTATGTTAATCTCTGATGGCAGACAATCTTCCTCTCACTGCACACTGCAGTGATGTCCCACAGTCTGACTCTCACTGGAAACTGCAGTGATGTCCCACAGTCTGACTCTCACTGGAAACTGCACTGATGTCCCACAGTCTGACTCTCACTGCACACTGCAGTCATGCCTCACCGTCTGACTCTCACTGCATACTGCAGTCATGTCCCACAGTCTGACTCTCACTGCATACTGCAGTGATGTCCCACAGTCTGACTCTCACTGCACACTGCAGTCATGCCTCACAGTCTGACTCCCACTGCACACTGCAGTGATGACCCACAGTCTGACTCTCACTGCATACTGCAGTCATGCCTCACAGTCTGACTCTCACTGCACACTGCAGTGATGTCCCACAGTCTGACTCTCACAGCACACTGCAGTCATACCTCACAGTCTGACTCTCCCTGCACACTGCACTGATGTCCCACAGTCTGACTCTCACTGCACACTGCAGTCATGCCTCACAGTGTGACTCTCACTGCACACTGCAGTGATGTCCCACAGTCTGACTCTCACTGCACACTGCAGTGATGACCCACAGATACATAAACACATCCAGGATCACAGGCAGCTCAAGGATGGTCATAAGGAGGTTTATGGACAGTTTGCTGTCTATCTTTTATTACAACCAGCACCCTGTGCGGAGCTCACATACCTTTGACACAGAGCTCAATCACAGCCTCTTGGGAGGTGAAGCCATGTGTAACTTGACAGTGATACAGACCATCGTCAGAAGCCTGGACTTGCTGTATCTGCAGAGTCACATCTCCCGTGGCGATGGCATCTCTCACCAGCCGGGTTCTTCCTCGGTACTCCGGCATCTGCACATCTCCTTGCTCCTGTCCATCGTGGAACACCAGCACAGCAGGGGTGAGGCGGGCACGGTACCAGCGGATGTGCATGGGAGATGTCCCACTCTGTGCAGGAGACAGCTGGCAGGGCAGAGTGGCCTTAGCCCCAAGCAGGACCGTGATGGGCTCAGTTTGTCCCTTCACAGAAAACAAAGACTTTTCTGGGACCAGAGACAGATTATGGAAGCAAGTTAGAGACATGAGACTTCAAACACACAATCCTGACTTTTCATATTTAGGGAACCAGACATATTTCTCTTTGTATTACTTTTTAAAATTTCTAAACTGTGAGCTGGGTGGTGGTGGCACACACCTTTAATCCCAACACTCAGGAGGCAGAGGCAGGTATATCTCTGTGAATTAGAGGCCAGCCTGGTCTGCAGAGTGAGTTCTAAGACAGAGCTACACAGAGAAACCCTGACTCAAAGTATTAAATTTTAATAGTTATATAAATGTGTACAAATAGTTATCTCTGTGTGTGTGTGTGCATGCGTGTGTGTGTGTGTGTGTGTGTGTGTGTTCTTGGGACTTCGATCATATCAGTACTTATTCAGAATGTCAGCTACTGCAGTATTTTGAATCTATTGAAATACATGGCCTTATCTCATTGTAAGGGTTAGGAAATGGACATTCTTCAAGTATGCCCACATAGCCAAGATCACAAAAACAGCAGAGGAGAGAGAGAGAGAGAGAGAGAGAGAGAGAGAGAGAGAGAGAGAGAGAGAGAGAGAGAGAGATGACAGCCCTGGCCATTACCCCAGAGAGAGTGATGCTCCAGCAGCCATTGCTAGATTGGGGGAGGCTCTTTTCAGCTCCACATTGCTTCCAAATGTGACTCAGAGGATGTATGTTCTCATCTACCTAATACCGGTGTCAGTGTACATATATGTACAATTTAGAAAGACTATTTCACTTTGGGTGAAGCCACAATGCAGTGTTGAATCATGGTTTCACATGAATGCAATCATGCATCAGTTTTGGCAATGGAGGGCTTCCAACTATTTTAGTACATATGGTTAGTTATACCCTATTTATTTAATTTTTAACAATCTATACCATTATGGTCAAGATTCTCCTAATGGGTAACATTTATAGCACTTCCACCTTATTGCTATAAACAATCCTATAATAAACTTGCACACACACACACACACACACATACACACACACACACACACACACACACAAACACACACACACACACACACACACACGCACACATGCACACACATACACACAAATACACATGCAAGAATATACACATGAATACATCCACCCATCCATACATAGACCCCTCCCAAGGGTTTTTACATGAAAATTTACAGAATTTTGAATGAGCATTTTTGGACATTAGTATTTGATGGTCAACCAATTGTCTAGCATGTGTTTGAAGGTAGACCAGATGTCTAGCATG